GCAGCATCTGGCTCCTGCGGTTGTGTGCGGTTATCTTAGCCTGCAGTGAAATACAGGGCTCAGACCCCGGGAGGCCAGCGTGGCACGCTATAGAGCAGTAACAGAAGGAAGGAGGGGAAAGCCCAGACTGCTCAGCAGCGGTGCTTTGAGACGCCTGGAGCAGGCACCTCAGTGGGAGGAGTAATTAATACTGAACTGCTGTAAACAGCAAGTTAAAAAGTTGCCCTTGACTACTGCTTAAAAGTGCACTTTTCCCTGAAGAAATTTCAAAGCTTGACTCTCAAGTGCCATTTTGAAAATAGCCTACATGCTTTCTTTTCTGGATATTGGGTCATACTCATATGCTGGAATAGGACAGCTTGTGTTATCAAAACAGCAGTGTGTAACATATGAAAGCAGAATACTCCTCCTAAATATACCCATATTTTAGAACCTTACATTGAGCTTGTTTATTGAACCAAATTCCACATATTATTTTATCCCTCTCTCATTGTCAAAAATGTAATAAAACTCGGGGGGGAAAAATAGTTGCACATTTAGAATGAGTTTTGAAAGTGTGTGAAGCAGGATTTCATACAGACTTAATGCACATCCTAGTTTTATAAATATGTCATTTTAGTAAATTTTAAGGTTTTTTTAGAAAGTACTGTGAAGATTGTTTTTAATAGCATGCAGGCAACTGCCAGTATCAGCCTGATAAATTCTTTTTTTTAATCTGGTCTTTCTGTTTTGTTATTTTATGTTTAGGTGTTGATCAATGCATCCAGAAATTTCTGGATGTTGCAAGACAAACTGAATGCTTTTTTTTACAAAAAAGACTGCAACTGTCGGTTCAGAAACCAGAGCAAGTAATTAAAGAGGTATGTTTAAATTTGCTTACCTGTCCTGTGCTAGATTGGATAAGCTGTGGACTAGTACAGTTAATCAACTCGTTCACATTGATTTTGGGTGTCTCAGCCTGATGCTGCATCATCTGTGTTGGTAGAACTTGACTGTTAACATAGCTCTCACCTGGAGAAGCTGAATGTCCACTGCTCTGTGGAGCTGGAACACAGATGATCGTTTCCTTGGAAGACACAATCTAGATAGTAAAGTTTTGCTGGAGGTAATGATCTCTGAAATACGTGACACAGGGGAATGGAACTTGTCCATTCTGAGTGCTTTCCCTCTGTTTCAGTAGATGCTTTTCCATTATCAGTCCCCAGAAGATCAGCCTGAAAACTCAAGCTAAAAAAATCCCATACTCTTTATGTGAGGTGGTTATCCTTAAGAAAGCTGTCCATGTGCTAATACGCAGATTTTCACGCATAGGACGTTTCAGAACTAAGAAATGAACTGCAGAGAAAAGAGGCGTTAATTCAGAAGCATCTGGGCAAGCTGCGGCACTGGCAGCAGGTCCTGGAAGACATCAGCGTGCAGCACAAGAAGCCCGCGGAAGTGCCGCAGGGCCCCTTAGCTTACCTCGAACAAGCGTCTGCCAATATTCCTGCTCCAATGAAGCAAACATGATCTTCCATTTTGTATAGCTGAAGAGTCTCAACAGTGTGAAGCAGGGCTGTGATTTTCACTTTGTATGCTTTTTGTAAAATGTCATTTGTAATACAAATAGAAATAACGTAGACAATTAAGCAAAATAAATTAGTTTGGTGTTTGGGTTTTTTTGTGTTTGTTTTGTTTTGTTTTGTTTTGTTTTGTTTTGTTTTGTTTTCCCTCAAAAATAGAGATTGGTTTTATGTTTCAGTGGAAAAGATGCAGAGTAGCTATTTGGGATGTTCTCTGTCAAAACTGTGCTTTCCAGAACACATCCTGTTCTTTCTAGAAAGCGTGGCCTTAGCTCTGCCCTAATGCTTACCTTTACTGGTATGGTGAAAATACTTACAAAGATTACTGTTTGGGTGTACTGGAAGATTGAAGTATTTTGTGACCAGTGATTATCTGTAAATACCACTGTAGAAGCACCCTTAGAATTGCCTGTATCTAGGCCAGATCAAGAGTGTGCTTCTGTTGAAGTGAGTTGTCTATCTCCACTGGACTTCTCACCTCACAAAGGGGTCTCAGGACATACAAATTTGATGGTTACAGGACGAAATGAAACTGTGAAATGCATACCCCTGGGGGTATATAGTGCAGACCCAGTGTTACTGGTGCCCTGTTGGTCAGGCTAGTGTTAGAGGTGGTCCAACATACCTACCCCCAAAATAAAGACTACTCATGGTGGATGTTGAGTCATCAGCACTGTTCAAACTAGAAGAATTAGCTTCTACTGGGGTATGCTATTTTGTAATCTAAACGTAGCTCAAAAAAAGATTCTGGAGGTAGAAGTAGCAAAGAAGTTCTGTTGCCTGTGTTCCTAGGCAACAACCTTAATTCATCCATTTAGCCAGGAAAGCCACTTTCTAGGCTACCTTTTTGGGGACAGAGTTAACTTATTAGAATACTGTAACCCTGGAAATTAGAACTAGTAATTGTGTATTGAACTTTCTAGTGTGCTTTAGAAGATTTTGGGGCAGAGTGGCAGAAAGCCAACAAAAAACTCAGCCCTATACATTTGTGATCCTCTGAGATACCAAGGCACTCCTTAGTGCTTACTGTACAACATTTTGTTCCCTTGATTACATGTATAAAAAGTGTCTTTTTGCCCAATCTGATGCCAAAGTCGCCTTCCAAACCAAGCAGTTCATCTTGGAAAAAATGCTAAACAGCTGGGATGGGAGTATTGGCCTGTGGAAGCACTGCCCTTAGTACCGCCTCTTGACCAGCAGTGAGCACAGGGGCTGGTCTGCAGTTGGTGCAGCCCTGGCTGGCTGTTAGATACAGGCAGAGGCTGGGCTGGGGCTGTGCCGCTTCACACGAAAACTTGTTATGTAGTCTGGCCTGGCTTTTTGAAAATAGGGATTCAAATCACACAGCAGTTGAACTATCCCATCTTCACACACAAAGCTGCTGGTTGCACAACTCCCTGCTTTTTATGTTTGTTGACGAACTACCCGAGGATTAATTTCTTCATGGGTGTCTTTCCTCCTAGTAATGCGGTAGCGGGTGGGATCTGATGAATGCAGTCATTCACTCACTTGGCATGTAGGTGGGAGTAATACTGAGATAAAATGTGCAAGTACACAATTCCCATAAATATGGGACTCTTGGAGTGTATCAAGCTGACTCACACTTCAGCGTAACAGCATTATTTTGAAAAACAGAAATTGATGATTTACAGGCAAGTTTTAATGTTCATATTCATATATCACCCTAATCTAGCAGGCTGATCAATGTATTGAAGTGCAGCAGGGGCATTATACTGCAATGGTGACTATACAAAACAGTTTATTAAGCAAATCAGAAGGTACTTCTAAACCAGCCTGCTATAAACATGCTATTCTTAGAGGTATACTGCATGCTGTACAGTTTAAAGTAAGTTTAACAAAACTGTATTAAAACCTTTAAAATTTATATTATTATACGCAGAAATGATTTTAAACAGCTGATGAAGCAAATGTATAAACCTATAGAAATCACCTGTGGAAGTAAGATCTGTTATCAGCTGGGGCAGACTATCAGGGTGCCTCAGAGACCAGACCACGTATTTATTGTAACTTGAGGGGTACAGCCTCCCAATTAAAAAGTCTCTTCACATAGTCGTACCTGGAATTCTGCTTTTTCTTCATTTTTTACAGGTGGTGTTAAAAAATGCATTCTTTTGAAACTCATGCTTGTAACTCCAGAGTCATTAGATAGGAGAGAGTGCAGCTGTTCCTTGTTATTTACTTGGAAATTACTTTTTTTTTTTCCTACATCACATACTGGATTATCATTCCTTAAAAGAGAACAGGAGCAGCTTTTCTAGAAATTCTAAAAATCATAGGAACAGTTTAGAATGAAAAATATTTAGTAAACCATTCTTGATGCTGAGGGTCTTGGTTTTGGTCATCTTTGGTTTGTGGTGGTTCATTGTCATGTGTCCTGCGCAAACAAATAAGAATTAGCATCACTGCTTACAACCTTACAAATATTTAATACATTTTCTCCTGGAAAAACTCATGATCCTGTGAAGAGGTCTGTGCTCACATCAACTGGATGAGGCATTTTTTAACATTTCTATTAATTTAAGTTAGCTTATATTATAGCAAAAAAAGATTTGAAAGAGTGAGTAGCAGTCTAGCTAGCCTCAGTCTCCCTGTGTCCTTCCCTTTCAAACACAAATCTTGATTTGCCTTGGCAGTTTTCTGGCATGACACGGAACGCTCTTCTCTTTTAAGATGCAGGAATTGCCAAACTGGATCCAGGCCTGTGTCCAGGATTGTTGTCTCTGCCATCAGTCAGCACCATCTGCCTGCAAGGATAGAGCTCCAGCACACAATTTACAGGATAGCTAATCTCCACTAGGAGATAGGTGAGAAGGCTGGCTTTTGTCCTGAGGTATAGTGCTAGGCTGGGCTTTTTAAATACTTACTATTAGGACTGTATAAAGTTATCTAGATATATTTTTAGCTATTTCTTGAAGAGATAGTTCAGTCATGTTTATAAAACATGAAACACAGTTTAAACAGTAACTCATAAATTTGAAGAAAAATTCAAGCTTTTCAGAGAAAAAATGTCAAACTATGAAGTTTTAGTTGAGTATCTGCTAAATGATTTTTAGGTCTCTAAACAGTTTGCCAAATTATTAGCCTGGATTCATTCAAATATCTCCTAAAATTAAAAAATGCCATCTACATCTACCGAGTGCAAAGTGAGGAAACAAAAGTAACAAAGAAAACACATCCTTAAGAGAACTACTGATACCTGCCTCAAGTTTTAAACAGCTACAGTTCACTGGTAACTATATTTTTAGTTAAATTCTTGCAACTCCTCTCTGTTTTGTACCAGGAGGGGCTGCAAGCATACGCTCTGATGGGCAGCAATTAAAACTTATTGCTGCAGTGAAGTTCTGGTTCTGTCTGCAGAGAATTGCACACATGGAGTTCACTGCACGACAGAAATGTTACGTCACTATTTCCAAGTGACTACTGTGGTTGAATTGCCTACGAGACTGCATACTGGCTCATTTATCATCTTACATGTCACTGCAAAACGGACAAATACCTTGTGGCAGCGCTGCTGTCTGAGGACTGTGTCGATGGAGAGCCCACCCGGAGGCAGCCAGGACTCCGGTCCAAGCTTGTAGATTTTGTTATTTGAGGAGCACTTCTTTTTGATCTCAAGTCACAGCTCAAAAAGCTCTTTGCATAGGAAGCTAAATTTGGAACACTGACAACACGACTGGGCACCTCAACCGTTTTCTTCTGCTTTTTATTATAACAGAGAACTTGGTTACGCACACGTTTTTTTAAAAAAGAACCAACAAACTTTACACAATAAAACCTCAACAATATCTCATTCCCAGATATCTTGTGGGGAGCACCCAAAAATTAAGATTCCTGTCTTTTTCTATAGGCATTTAAAATAAAATTCTCAGGGTATGCTGTGAGGATCCATGGGTTAGGTAGTTCAATGAAAGCACCTTGTGCATTTGACCTTGAGATTTTTAGATACATCAAAGCTGATAGCTTTGTGGAGCTCAGTTAGGTGCTTATCACCAAGTTAACCTCCCTTCTTTTCATTACTATTTATAGAGATTATCATACAGAGGGGCTGGAATGACAAAGGGCAAAGCCTGAGCAGGTCCACACACAATTAGTCATTTTCCTTGATACATGTAATGTCCCAAATTACAGCTCCCAAATCTGCAAGCAACAGCTGTGCATATCACAGTGGAAGAATATCATCTTTGGAGTTCTAGTGTTTTATATTTGCTTAAACACCTGTTATCTGTGTGCATATATACTTCTCCTGAATTTATGCTATATTCAGCACCTGACTGTAGGTTGGTTTACTGAAAAGGATTCTACTGAATAACATTACCACAAAAAGTTAATAAGACCTTTATTGTCCTGATCATCTCTATTATTCAGCTAGCAATAAAACATCATGATGTCCAGTTTTAACTGCATTGCCTATCTTACCTTCATGGAAGAGGTCAAGCATCCTCCATTAGGGTTGAAAGAAAATGATCGATTCCTGTAAGACTCAGTGTTGGCTAAAAGCGAATGCTGAAATTTTCTTCCTTCCTGAGGGGAAAGAAATTATGTGTATGGAAACATGTATTTGTTGGAACTTGGTATGGAAACATAGATTTGTCAAAGTATTCTAGAACAGAAAGGAAGTATCAGTCTGAAGCAGTGTGTGAAATACTGAATAAAGCCATCCAACATATTCCAAAATGTATGTGTCCATATAAAAGGCAGTCTTACCACCAGCTGCTTGATAATCTCTTCTCTCTCACTTAACTTGTCTTGCAGACAGCTTATAAGATGTATGTCTTCTGACCTGGACTCCCACTGGCTTGACTTTTCTTCTAATTCTTTAAGTCTGTAAGAAAAAAAAAGTGCAGACCAGAAAAAAACTTCCTCAGACCAGGTTGAAGAGGTACCTGGGCTGTGCTCTGCCCTAAATTCCAAGTCTAACATACAGAG